ATGTAAAACCTCAAACCATAAGAACCTTAGAAAATGAAGGACATACCCTCATGGAAATTGGAACTGGCATCCAATTCCTGAACAAAACCCGAAACCCACAGGCCATAAGGGATAAGATAGACAAGTGGAACCTCATTAAACTGAAAAGCTTCTGCAAAGCCAAAGAAACCATCGAGAGAGCAGGGAGACAGCCTACAGACTGGGAAAAAGTATTTGCTAGCTCCAGGTCTGACAAAGGCTTAACATCTTGGATCTACAAGGAACTCAAACATGCTGAAAAGAAAAAAACAAGCAATTCCATTATAAAATGGGCAAAAGATATGAACAGATGCTTCACAAAGGAAGACATCTGAGCAGCCAACGACACATGAAGAAATGTTCAACCTCACTAATCATCAGGGAGATGCAAATCAAAACCACACTGAGATACCACCTAACTCCAGTCAGAATGGCAATTATCAATAACTCAAAAAATAACAGTTGTTGGAGAGGGTGTGGTGAAAAGGGAACACTCCTACACTGTTGGTGGGAGTGCAAACTAGGGCAACCTCTGTGGAAAGCAGTGTGGTGATTCCTAAAAGCTCTAAACATCAACCTCCCATATGACCCTGCAATCCCCCTATTGGGAATATACCCTGAAGAACTCAAATCACTATAAAAAAGATACCTGCACATGCATGTTTATCATGCAGCATTGTTCACAATAACAAGAACCTGGAACCAACCATGCTGTCCATCAAAAGAGGACTGGATTAAAAAAATGTGGTACATATACACGATGGAATACTATGTAGACATAAAAGAGAAGAAAATCATGAATTTCACAGAAACCTGGATGGAACTAGAGTCTATAATACTGAGTGACCTCTCACAGAAAGAAAGATCTGAGTGTCACATGTTCTCACTCATATAGTGGACCTTGATCATCCAATGCACTATCATAAGAAAATGACTGGACTGGATTAAAAAAATGTGGTACATATACACGATGGAATACCACGCAGCCATAAAAAAGAACAAAATCATGAATTTCGCTGCAACC